TGGATATGGTACTTGAATCACTTGCGACGTCTGTATCAAATTGACCTTTCGAGCTCGGAATTTCCCTTTTGAATTAATCTCTACTCTGACTGGTTCATAAATATAATTTGGGTTCACTACTTCAACCATATAAGAACCAGATGGAACGTTTGAGATTATAAACGTACCATCTTCCCTGAAATTAAACATCATTTAATATATGACACATCACATGTAAATTCATTGAGGCTTTAAGCCTTGTCCAGAGAAAAAACATCATTGATTACATTAATCAAAGAAATATTATTAGCAATTAATTCAATATTAATATGAATTAAATATTGAACAATTCGACCAGTTGATCAGTGTGATTAATCAATTCTTTTTATGTCCAAGATTTCGGAACGATTTTAGCATCGTAGACACAAGATTTTGCTCGTAGCTACGTACCTCAGAAAGCCGTAGTGTTCACCTCCATTTGCCATCACATGCGTCATGAGTTGCCAGCCAGTGGAAGCAGCGTTGTCCCAAGGGAACACTTTCCCCTCAATCACAAATAGATCTGTGGATGTGTCTTCCTCATGCTCCGCTATTACGTACCGTTCACATGAATTTATAAGGATGATGAGTAAACACAATATTTCCTTCATGATGACGCAAGCGGACAACCATTAACCTCTCAAACTCAATTATATACCGTACATTTCCCATCCACCAAGCTGTCGATGCGCAGTGAGCACTGCGCAGGCGATCAAGATCAACGGCGATGCATCTGACACCTGTGTATTTTACTGCAGAAGTAGATACCATCAGTTGTGTACTGTACGGAGTGATAAAATCTAGCCACAAAACCGACGAGATACGTATATTATTAAAGATGTCCGCCAGCCCTGAAAAAGTGTTTAATTAATTTATAGATGTAGTACGAATTGCACCACATGACCCATTTTCGACGTTCTCTATTATTTTATCGACAGTTGAAAAATAGATGTTGTTACGTAGTGAGCATACTTCAAAAATTGTACTGGCGGTAGTGTACGGGCGATTTCGATAGAAAAGGATGGTCCCTTTCAAATTTCTCTCTGATTAAACAACATTAAACAGAAAAAGCAGCTTTGCACAATGCACTGTTATAACATTTGTTAATATGATTTGTTATATTAATTTAGATCCATCAAAGAACTAAGGGCAAGAACCAATCATATTAAAGGATCTTACAACAGTTACAAAGCTGCTTTTTCTGGAACGCAACTATTGGTCGCGTTCAACAGATTCAACTGTGTGGAGCAAATCCTTGAGCACTCGCTACTATTGGTGTATTCTTCTAGATCATCCAATAGCAGCGAGCGCTCATGGATCCGCTCCGCAACTTGAGTCTGCTGAACGCGACCATTGGCGCAGCCGCTTGTTGGGGAATTTTTTTTACGAAGAAATTTCCCTAATCAGTATTCAATAAACATGGTTGGTATTAATGAAATATCTATAAACATTTTCCCCATGAATTTAGAAATTAAATAGAAACAAATTCGGAGTAAACTGACAGATAAGTATGTGACACATCACGCATATTTTGATTTAATCTAAATATGTAGACATTTGAATTATTAAATGAGTGGTGGATTACGACAAGAATTTCGATGACAATATTGAATCTTTATGACAAAATTATTATGTTATGATTAAAAAGTATATATAGTGTTTCAATCTGAAAGATTGCCAATATGATAGAAATTACAGCAAAACTCGTTCGAGGCCCTGTGTATTTTTCCGGAGAGATTGTAGAATGTTTGGTTACGTTTACTAATCCTCCGAACCCAAATCATCAAATATCACAAAGTCACAGGTAAGAAGATGACAGTGCTATTAGTAATAAACTATTATTCATAACATCAATTGCTTTTCTACAGTGATCTATTCGAGAGTCTTGCATGGGCGAGTGCACAAGTCCATTGCCAGTGTACAACGAACAGCAAAATGGTACTTTCAGAGAAAATAAATACTGCAGCTCGCTCAGTAGCAATTAACGCAAGTATGAATTTTAAAAAATATCTTAATCTTTTCTGATTTTTGTTATACTTGTTATTTACTACATTTATTACAACTTTGTAGATACTACCTTTGCACCATGGCAACAGGACAATGGACATGTAGTGCTGAATACAAAGCCGAAAATCTTATGTTGTGATTTAAGACTGTCACCTGGAGAAAGTAAGACTTGTAAGTTTCATTAGTGTTTTAATTAAATTCTTACAAGTCAAAATTAGTCGGATAAGAATAAATCGAATAAAAGAAATATATAATTCTATTTTTATCTTTATAGAACTAAAAAATATATTTATAAATCTACATATGAATATTATTGAACATCAAGATCACCTTCGATCAAAAATAGGTTTCTTTTTCTTAGTGGATAAATTTTTGTATTTGTAATTATGTTTTATTCCTATTTAATAATTCTTTTCATGGTTTTTGTGTATTCTTCAAATTTATTAAACTCTTTTGTGAACAGATATTTATCGTGAAACAATACCAAGTGACGCTCCACCTTCATATAGAGGACAAGCTGTAAAATATTCTTATAAGATTACAATTGGAACACAAAGAGTGAATACAGTTATAAAACTGTTACGAGTACCGTTCAGAGTACTTTCTTTAAGTGGTAAATAATTTTATAAAGTATTGGAAAATGTGTGATTATATAATAATATCACTGTGATATAAAGTATAGTTCATGTATTATTTCATAGAATTACCAGAGATAACAGCGTGCAATGATAGTGTGGATCTGAGTCCGAACAATCCGTTTATGGAAACACAACATAGGGAAACTCCACTAGATATTGCTCTACAAACATTGCAGGTTATATATTATTCTTCTACTTAATCCATAACAGGGACACATATGTTTTGTAAACAAGAAATATATAGGTTGCCTTAGGATCCACTAAAGTTTTTTGTTAGTTTTAAAAGTTGTAAAATTTTTAATTCCATGTAAAAAATTTTATCGTTTGATTATAGCAATGTAGTACGATAATAGTTAGTCTACATGAAGTCACATGTTAGTCAAAAATAAGATTGCGAAACATAAAATTACTCCAAATCATTATACTATTTAAAAATAAGAAAAATATCTCATAGTCACTAAGATCTATATGTTTTAGTTATCGGTAAAATTTAATTACGTTTTAGAATTTAACAGCCAGACGGAGTCCAAACTTTTACAACGTGACAAACGGCCGCGGACGCGTAGTACGATTTTGCCTCTTTAAGAATTCCTACAAACTCGGTGAAGACATTGTTGGAACCTTCGACTTTTCGAATGCGACTGTATCCTGCGTTCAGGTATCCGTGTCTCTACAGTCAGAAGAGCACGTGTCAGAGGAGTACAAACGGGGGAAGACTGCAACGCCAACATTGATCAGCTACAACAAGCATCACGAGATGTGTCTCGGCCTCAAATATTCACATCTGGTGCTACCGATACCTTTGCACGTTACGCCAGACTTTACTACCGATTTAGTGACACTCAAGTGGCGATTGCATTTCGAGTTCGTCACAACGCCGAAACTGATGGACATGCCCAATGAGAATACCATAAGTTGGCATGGACCGTCGACTCTGGATGTCGAAACGATGATTTGGGATCTTCCGTTGCACATTCATCCGACTACTACTCCACCGAACATGCCACAACAGACGAAATACAACACCATCATATAGGTACCATAACATAGCATATGCACGTATATCTAATAAAACATTAATTAACATTAACAATAATATAACACTAATGTTATAATTTCAACAGTGTAAATGTAATATAACACATATATTCTATAACAGCTACATTATTGAGTATGAAATAATAACATTAATGTTATATTAGTTGCTGAATTATTTAGCGTGTTCATGTAAAAGAAGTGAATTATCGTTATTTTAATGCAGTTAACAGATTACAAAAATAATATAAAGATACAGTATATAATTCTGCATTTTGTCATTTTCGTATGCTTTGGTAAGTATGCGATTATTGTTGTTCCACATCTTAGAAAATAATTTGCATTCTGTATGATAATTTATTATATATGAGAAAGATATATATATATATTTTTTTTTCGTATATTTATGTACATAAATAAAAAAAGTTATGTAATAAAGGAAAACGTTAGAATAATTTGAGCACTTTTATATCTATGATAAATTTTATAATAGCATCTATGACTTTATCAGCATTTGCTCCTACTCACAGTAATGGTTTTTCTGGAGACTAATGACTTCGCAGAAATGATATATTACACAGCGATAAAGAAAAATAAACAGACTACTTTAATCTCTCTGAATAACGCACGCTCATATAAATCCTTCTTTTGTATAAGTCATAAGAATATTCGTTTTTTTAACTGTACTTTTTCCCGCAATCTTATCTTTCCTATTTTTCCTTCAAAAACTTGAACATTGTTACTTTATTAAAAAAATTGCAGTTAACAATAATAATCCTTGCAAAAACTTAATAAATATAAAAAAATCGATAAATTAATTTTGCAATATAATTACGACTTTTAATTTTTAATCTCTTGAATATTACTAATGCATATTTGTTTTAAAAATTGCAACTTATATAATTTTTTGTATATAAATATTTTTTAAATCAATAAATCTAAATGGAAAGCAAAAAATTATCAAATTTAGAACATATTATAACAATATGTAATTCCTTTGAAGACAAATATTTTACTATAACTATAAGAACGTGTGTTTCTTCTAAAAAAATTAATGGCTGCGTTCAGCAGAGAAAGCAGTTTTGCAACTGTTGTAAAATTCTTTAATATGATTGGTCTTACCTTTAGTTCCTCACTAGATCTAAATGTTTAAACCAATCATATTTAAAAATTTTACAACAGTTGCAAAGCTGCTTTCTCTGCTGAACGCAGCCATTGTCTCGCAAGGAAGCATTAGAAATTATTCAAAATATTACGAAATCTTTTGTTTTTCAAAAAACTGTTTTTCATTCATCAATTTTTTTTCGGGATTTGTTCTCGCATGGACAAACTATCTAGTGACGCGCTTCGTAAGAAAACTGTCGGTCGTCTTGTTCAATTGGTAGTCTCGGTTGCAGAGGCGGTACCAAGGTCGGCGGCGAGGGGGTGGCGAAGGGCGCGTGATAATCGTATCGGTAGTAAGCTAGAGATTCCCATCGGGCCGCGGCCGGATGTTGCACCTCGAAAGACGTCGGCGGAACCGACGGGGCCGCGTAATAGCCACCGGCACGGTCGGGTACGCCAGGTACATAGCTGTACTGTGGCTCCAACAGACTTTGCAGGTGCCTGATGTATGTGATGGCGTGGCGCAACGACTCGATTTTGGAGAGCTTCTTGCCGGGCGGCTTGCATATCGGCAGCTTCGACCGTAGCAGCTCAAATGCACGGTTCATGTCGCGCATTCGGGTCCGTTCACGATCGCAGGCCGACTTCTTGTAGTCTGAAATCGTTAATTACGTCGGAGTTAATGACTGTTCTTGCTCGCATACGCGCGTACTCGTCGTCGTCGTCGTCGTCGTTGTTGTCGGTGTATTGTCGCGAATGATTGAACGAATTGGTTCGGATGTTTTTCGGAACTATACGATCTAAAATCAAATTTTTTAGAAAAACATTTTAGCTTTCACACAGAGGAATGCTGATTGTGAAAACTTCAAATTTAAAATGGATGATTCCAAAGGGATTTGATGACTTAGCCATATTTATAAATTTATTGCAAATAAAATTAATTTTTTATAATTTTGATTACGGTATCTAAAAGTATAATCTTTTTTCTTCAAAGTAATTTGTTTTTCTGTTCGTTTTATGTTATGAATTAATCACCCCCCCGCCGATATTGTAATATTTTATATAAAACTGTATGAGTAGTCATTTACGACATTTCTGTAGGAAAACAAAAAAGAGCCAATATGACTAATAAAAATGAATATAAATTTTAGATATTTACCTTGTAAAAATGTCAAAACAAGAAACAGATTGTGAAATGAAATTGATAAAAAATTTTACCAATCGTCTTTTTTAAATAAAAAAACTTCTGGGACGGAATCGAGGAATATTCAAGAATGACAAACATCAAAGCAAGTCGTAAAGGTTAGAGTTGAAATATGTAAAATTATATTCAATTTAATATATAATTTAATATACATTAAATTAAAAAAATAAGGAAAATAAAAAGAATCTTTTAAATATATCCTTAACATACGAACTTATAACTTTTGCGTAATCTATATATCGCACTATTAATCTCGTTTATTTATGTTTATATTTTATTCTTATTTGTTCATATTTAAAATTTACGACATTTATATATATATATATATAATAAAATGGTCATAAAATAGTTCCTGGAAAAAATAATTTTTATACATGTTGCAAGGAATGCGACTGAACGATGCGCAGTATTTTCGATTGCCTTTGCCGCACACGCGTAAGAAGATGACGGTAATACGTGTAATGCCGCGCATCGTAGACGCGAATTACTCTTATGTAATTCAGGATTCGACTACAAGTCCGAATGCCGGACTCGAAATAACGTCTCGATGTCGCGGCAAGATTTTGGAATCGAAACAGAGTTCTGTTGAAATAGCGCTCGTGACATGCAACGGCTTCAAAAGCATTGATCAAAGTAAGAACTAAATTCATAAATTGACATTGCGTATATTAATAAATTGGTATATGATACATTCGATAAATTAATTATCGTACAAAATAAATGAGTGTTAATTGACATGGACACGATTATAATAAGATGTTTAAATTGTCCATATTTGAAGTTAAGAAAGGACGTCAGGACATTTGTATAGAGACCGAAGCTATCAAGGTTTCCAACAATCCATCGTTCTTAACATGGCAAGAAGATAGTCTATTGATGGTCCCGAACGATTCCGAGAAATTCGCAGAATTTCCGCAAGTCGAAGATAATCGTTGGGAAACCATATGGAATTCAGAAGAATTGCGAAGCCAGGTAGAGCGCAACTGTAAGAGCGTCGATCGGAAACAGAATTGCGGTGATCGCGTTGTCGAGTTCACGGAGGAGAAGTGCAATAGTTGGTGGAAAGATAGCGGCCAAACAATTCTACACTTTTTCGCCAAGATACTGGGAAAACGCGGCGGAATAGGCGCCAAGGGAGCAACGGGTTACGTTTTGCCTACCGGCAAGCAGCCTTGCAAGCGTGTCAAGCGTGTCTCAAGGGATGGCAAAGGCTATAATGGATGCGGAAGAGACGTCGATGGGAGTATACGCTTGAAGCGAGTCAACAACGGCTACATTGGCTACATTGCAAATCACGTATACAGGTATATAATATAGTTTGCGAGTATACTTAGGATAAACTCGGGTATATGATGGCCATAGTTTTTTAAAATGCAAAAAACATACATTTATTCTTGTTACTTTTTAACAATATTCGGGATATTACTTTCACTGAAGCTTAAAGTAACAAATACTATCGAAATTAAAGAGAAAATACTTAACAGAACTTTAATTTTATCAAAATATTACAAAGTATGCATTGGTCATCTTATCTAATTTTTAGGGAAAAGATGGCCATGTGATATTAAGAAAGATAGCCATAGTATTTATAAATAAATAGTGAAAATAAAAGTATTAATTATAGGTCACTTTGCAATTTACGTACCTTTATTGTGTATGTAATGTTGATTATGGCAGCTTAACTGTAATTTATTAGACATTATAACAGTTTTTAGCATGAGACACGTGCAAAACTTTGCAGATAGTCGAAAGAAAAAATATTAGATAATATTTATAATATTGTTATTTTGAACAGTGTACTCATATGAACTACTGTAAATATTGATTATCTTTAAGAATGACTATAAAATGCACTATTTATCAATTATTAGAGAAATTATGGCCTATGGCTATCTTTTCCGTATGGCCATAATACCCTAGTTTACCCTATTGTTTAAAAATCCTAAAACATAAAAATTTGAAACTTCTTTGAATATTGTTTAAAGATTCTAAAACTTCAGAATTTGAAATGAACATCTAACGAAAGTTAAATTTTGCCATTTTTAATACAGTTCTAAAATTTAAATTAATAGCATTGAAAATGATTGATTAATTGAAATAAAATTAATAAATTATTGAGGAAGAGAGATTGATGGTGGAGAAAAATGAAAGGAAAGGGATCAAAGGAAATTTATAATTTGAAACACTTAAACGTTGCACAGGAACCATTATTGGAAATTAATGCAAAAATGAGGTGATATGCGTTTGAGATTTCCGTCCAATTAGCAAGCGTTAGAATTGATTACAAAAATGCGAGAGTTATGAATTTTACGACTGATTTATACGCGTGAGTTTCGTAGAATTCCGGCCGAGTAGTCACAAATTGAGTTCGCGATTTTACGAACGCAGTTTGTCCGACGCTACGTGACACGCACGTTTGCAAATAATTTTAAACGCGTTACGCGGCGCATCGGTATAAAAATGTGCTAGCACCTAAAATTGAATGCAGCCGTGACGCGAAAATAGCTCGTCCTTTTTACGAAATACGTGCATACGTTCCGGTCGAATTGATATTCATGCGCCATGTCTCGTACTCGCGCTTCCTTCACAGGGACGAGACGAACCGGTACGGGGGCGTCGTGACGGAAAATAAGTCGCGCGAGAAGCGGCAGCATCATCCCTCGATTCTCGTGCGACAGATACAGAGGACGCGTGACAAAAATCTACGGATTATGCTGCTGGAACGAGAGCTGCACGCACATTTGCCGAAAGCTGCCAGGAGGGAACTGCGACTAACTGCGAAGGTCCGACAATTAAGCAGCCCCCTCTGTTAAAATTCTCCTGTTTTAAGGAAACTGGTACTTCGAGAAGAAATTTAATTTCAGATCGCGTATTCGGCTCGATTTTTGTCATAAAAGCGTCTTAACACGTTCACGTTTTATTTTAGCGTGGCGTATAATAGGATGTAGACAAAATAATGTGAACATCTGAGAAATATTTGTTTTATTAACAAGAGGTTGGCTTATCATCTGTCTTTAATCTGGGAATAATCAGTTGATTTATTATATCCCGTATTAGCGAAAAAATAAAACAACAAAAAACTCCAAAAAAACAGGGCGAATGAGAGTCAGCGTGGTAATTAATACGCAATCTTAATTTTTCAATCCAAAAAGTAGAATCTTTATTCCAAAAATAGTACGTTTCAGTTTTTTCACTTTGCCTTAGTTTTGCTGAAGATGGTTCCAAAGTGAACTGAAACGTACTATTTTTGGAATAAAGATTCTACTTTTTGGATTGAAAAATTAAGATTGCGTATTAATTACCACGTTGACTCTCATTCGCTCTGTTTTTTGGAGTTTTTTGTTGTTAAATTTGGGAGAGTCTGTAAGAAGATTACATTATTTTTGTTTCGAAAAAATAAAATTCACAATCTCAGTTTTACAGTAGTTCTGTTTACTGATCGAGAAAATCTGTATCTATTATTTTTTTTATTTTTTTTTAATATTTAGTAAATTCACATAATAATCTTAAATATTAATAAATTTTATAAGAACATTCAATAATATACAATACATAGTTAATAATAGTAACTTTTAATTGGGATGTACAAACTACCCCCAGGTAATCGTTTACGCAAAAATTGGATGATTATATATTCTCGGATTATTTGGAGAATAAGAGGATAATTTTGAAAAATAAAGTGAGATGCAAATTTCCTTCTCCAATATCGCCTATATAAATAATTAAAAGAAGTCTTGCTAAAAGAATAATACAACATTCCAGTGAATGTTCATTCAAACATTGTATGACTATTGTATGACTATTCCAGGGAATAGAATCTCTAGAATAAGGGCAAATGATAAACCAATCTTTTATTATTAACTCTTACCCTACTAACATGAGTCACATAGTGACCGAGCGATTTCTGTTCGTATAAGTTTCTTTGAGTCTCGGTAATTATAAATTATACTATATTTTATTATTTTCCAAAACGAAGAGCCAATACTTATTCTAAAAAGTTGAAAGTATGTTGGTAAATTTTTAGAGATTTTTTAAATCATTTTGAATAGGTGAAAAAAACGGACGGATTCTAGTGACCCATGTTTGTAGGGATGAGGCACCAAATTGTATCTAGTATGGTAACGGTTAAAATAAGTAATGTATTTTCCAGGTGTGTATTCATTATTTTGTTCATTCTCTGTATATATATAATAATCAGAATTTTGCATGTTTTGTACCTCTAAAACAATAATAAAGCCCATCTAATTGACATCGATAAGAGGTGGTCTGTGGCAAAAAGTTCTTAAGCTCTAGCATGATAAAAATATCTATGACAGATTCTATATTTGTATCTATATCTGTCTAATATTTATATCATATGATCTTTGATATCGCTTAGTATTTCTATAAGACATGTAGATTAGTTCAATCGTGGATGTGATCTCACCAGGCAACGTGCAATTTGACATTGCCGCACCTTTCTCAGTTTGCAATGGCTCCCGTTGCACCGATTTAATGTTGGCCTCATGGAGTATCTCGAGGTGCGGATGGCTGCCGATTATTTCCGGTTCCGGTACTCTAATCACGAGCACTCCCTCAGGATTCTGTTGGTCGCGCGTCTCGAAACTCGTTTCTTGCCACCTATCTCTTATAGCCTGCGGCCGTGTCGTTTCGTCTATGAAAATAATGTACGCGCGGTTAATAATACGCAATTTTACATTCACCATTACTTATGCATATCTATGAAAATTGTAAATATATATAAAAAATCGAGCAATTACTCCAATGATTTAATAAATGGGAAACTATATATAGAAAGAACGATTTTGCTGAAAGATCTAAAATTTTGCTAATGATGTATTTAGATCTGAAAATAATTTTGTTGAACTCTCTCTATCAAAACAAATTTGTTGGAAACTTAAACTGGTTGCTAGAAGAAAATTTTTGGAGGATTGTTCATCATTTTTAGTTTTCAATATAATTATTTTGATGGTCTAACAAAATTATTTTCAGATTTATATCCAGCAAAATTTTAGATCTTTCAGCAAAATTATTCTTTCCGTGTAGATTTAATTGGTATGTAATGTAAGAATGAGTAGCTTTTTTTATGTTCTAATATAAAAGTTCAAAATACCTCCTTTGCATACCTGCGGCCAATCCTTGATCCTGTTGATGTACTATGCAACTCGGCGAGTTTGCTTCCCGATTCGCTGCTTTTTGCTGTTTCAAATTTTCGTCTAGATCTAGTAACACCGGCGAATGAGCATAATCTTCGTCGTTACTCTCGTTTTCAGACTGGAATATAAATTTGCTTTTTTCCTAGCCATTTTTCAGTTGATATCTGAACGTGATTTCTTAATGCACTGATTCTCTCCTCATCGATTGAAATAATCGCGATACGGAAATAAATGCGACGCTAAAATATTTATCATGGATAAAGCATTGTAAAATAAGTTTCAAATTGTCCTAAATCGTCCTAGTAGTACTTTAAATTGAAAAATTAGAAGATAATGAACAGATTAAAAAATGATCATAAAATATATGAGACTCAAAGAATACACTACCATTCAATAGTTTTAGTACGTTTTATGTTTTTGTAACATAATTTCATTTTTTATTCGTAAAAGATGCAATTATAATACGATATACTCTCTTATTTTTGGTTATTATCACGAAATATTCAATAGAATTGTGAATTGCTGAAAAATAATTATAAATAGAAATTATAAGTAAATTTCTTAAATAGACAAATATTATGTATTGTATTGATTGAAGGAAATATCAATTTCAAATTTTGTACTAAACATCGATAAATATTTGGATATCATAATAACTAACGATAAGAAAATGGAAACAATTTATTCTCGCAGAAATTAAGTGCCAGACTTAAACACAAGTCTTTAATTAAGAAACTTGAAGACTATCGACAAAATGTCAAGAGAGAATTTGGTTTCTTATCAAAACCTAAGGAGAAGTTTAAAGAAGTAAAAAGTCAGAAAAAAAGTTTTTTTTTCTAATTTTAGTGAAAATATGTAATAATAAATTAAACATAATGCATGCAAACTATATTCATATTTTACAAAATATTCATAAATAGAAAGTGTAGTAAAACTTGTGAGCGGTAAATGTATATTATTTTATTTTGCGAGAAAATACGCGTTTCTCAAAAAGGTAAAATACATAAAAATTTCTGGACCCAAAATACATAGAGTGTATTTTGTAATATAAAAGAATCTTTTATGTTACAAAAGTTCACATCGGCCTACACTTGTGCACGAAGTAAATAAGTAAAAAAGATAACGGTTCAGTTGCATTATCGAGCAATATTGTGGTGTTACATTTTTGCGGTAGTGTCGCATCACTTCGATTGCTTCTACCTCGTTCTTCACCGGCTCGGCGCGATACTCCTCCGAATTTTGTTCCATCGCGGACACCCGATCTAGCACAAACGGCACGTCCTCGTTAACCCTGATATCACCCATCGACGTATCGAAGAGAAACGATGTGAAAAACTGACGGTTCGCCCTTCTCGACGAAGTATCGTAAGGCGTTTATCACGTGGGTCTAGCGGCCACGTTTGTCCTCGGATAAGATGTGGATCAGCCACAGACAGTCGTTATTAATGTTAATTTTATCCGTTTATTAAGTATTCAGGTGTTCCTCGCCAGAGGTTCTCAGTTTGTCGCAACCAAGAAGAGAGAGGAATGTATCGAATATCATATGAGCCCTGCCTAAAGTATCACGAGTATAGTGTTTTTAATAGAGTATCATGTATATAAAATGGAGAATTAGAAAATTATTATTATATAACAATAAGAAAACGCTCGCAAAAATGTGTAAATAATCGCAGCAAATGACCGTTATTTTTTTACATTATTTTTTTATATTAAGCTAATTTTCATAATTATTGCAATAATGTTTGTCTAAGATTTTTGCACGAAATTATTTATGTCGCATATTATGTATACAATTTGTTTAGTTTAAATCAACGATCAGAATTGGAAAATTGATGTTAATTATTTGTGACTCGGTTAGCAACAATTTAATTTGTTGAGAAGAAATTTCGCTTTCTCTCTCAACTGTGTTTGACGCTTGCGTAATAAAAAACATTTTTTAAAAAAGTTATTTGTACCTTCAAAAGAAATTAAATAGAATGCTGTCCATACCTGGTGTATAATATTAGCATACGTATGAGAGTCTCTGGGATGATCGGGATAAAAATGGGAGTACAAACATCGGAACATAATAGACGCCCGACCGATGGAAATACTAATGAGGTGGAACTGTGCAAGTATAACAGATCGTAAAGGATGACGCACCGTGGGCGGAGATGCGACGAGAATTACGAATACGAGGGGAAAAGAAATTTGAAATTGTGCTGTGCTTTCGTCAGTCGTAAAACGGATACGCGAAGTTGAATGTTGTCTCTATATTTTCAAGTGATCGAAATTCGCGTGACAGTGAATATTTAAACCACAACGCTAGTTGTACCTCTTAAAATATTTCTGTAAAAGAGTCCTTTTACTCCTTTCGCAGATATTTTTTACAGATTCTTAATAAATAATTTTTATTAAATAAATAATTTTCGCGGAAAGAATTTGCACGCGCTCCGACATTGTTGCACCAAACACATTTACACGCCCGCGAAATGTATATATGCATCAACTATATTTTCTCGGTGTATTCTTTATATTCAAAACAGTCCTCCTCAAAATGCAAACTTTGTTTTATTTCCACTTTACCCGAATATCTTTGAACTCGCAAGTCGCGAGATTCTAGAAATAAACGACGATGTTGAAGAGGGTACATCCGACGCATTCTGACGTGCATCTATATCTGAAAGAAAATGGCATATAAATATAACGTTTATATTTCTTGTGATCCAAATATTTGATGGTATAATACAAATACACACACGAGAGAGAGAGAGGGGGGGG